TTTGTTTCTTCCAAGTGTCAGGGATAGATAGACTTTGAATGATTCTTGTCAGGTTGGGTTAGTCCCGTCACTGGGAATGGAATTTCTCATATTTAAAAAAAAAAAAAATCAGAACTCTGCACTGGCCGGTGTGGCTCAGCGGATTGAACACTGGTCTGCAAACCAAAAGTGTCACTGGTTCAATTCCCAGTCAGGGCACATGCCTGGGTTGTGGGCAAGGTCCCTGGTAGGGGCTGCATGGAGAAGCAACCACACATTGATGTTTGTTCTTTCTTACTCTTTCTCCCTCCTTTCCCCCATCTAAAATTAAATTTTAAAAAAAATCTTAAAAAATTTTTTTCCAGTTCAATGCATTTTTTGGTGTGTCGGACTAATTTTTCTTTTTTAAGATTTTATTTATTTATTTTAGAGAGTGGGGAAGGGAGAGAGAAAGAGGGATTAATATCTAATTTTTGAGGTATTGTTGAAAGTAAGTGTTTTTTTAAAAGTATTTATTTATTTTTAGACAGAGGGGAAGGGAGGGAGAAAAAGAGGGAGAGAAACATCAGTATGAGGTTGCCTTTCACATGCACCCTACTGGGGGCCTGGCCTGCAACCCAGGCATGTGCCCTGACTGGGAATTGAACCAGTGACCCTTTGATTCACAGACCAGCACCCAGTCCACTGAGCCACACCACCCAGGGCAAATGTGGTTTGTTTTTGTTCTCTGGAATTTGAGGTTCTTAAAAGCTAATACATTTGGTTTTTGTGAATAGTTTATGGGTGTTTGAAAGGGAAGTGTATTTAGATTTTATTTATATATATTTGGAGAGAATGGAAAGAAGGGAAAAAAAGGAGAGAAACATCAATGTGTGAGGGAAACAATCAGTTGCCTCTTGCGCGCCCCCAACCATGGTCTATAACCCAGGCATATGCCCCGACTGAGAATCTAACTGGTAACTTTTTGGTTCGTAATACAAGACTCAGCTCACTGAGCAACACCAGTCAGGGCAGTAGGAAAGTCTGTTGGTTTTTTGATAGAGTTATAGTTATGTTTAATAGATCACCATTTTAGCTGTGATAGTCAGATCCTCTGTACACCTTTCTTTTGTGTGTATGTGGGCAAATTTCTGAGACTTGTATCATTCTCATACTGATTTGTAGATCAGTCAGTTTCTCCTTGTTTTTAATGTTTTTTTGAAACTGTTAGTATCATTTCAGTTACACTGTTTTATGCAATGACATAATTCCTTTTTGTCCCCTCCCCCTTTTAAATATTTTATTTTTTATTTAGAGAGGGGAAGAGAGGGAGAAAGAGAGGGTGAGCAACATCAATGTGAGAGAGAAACTGGCTGTCATCTGCATATGCCTCAGGGGACTGAACCTAAAACCTGGGCATGTGCCTTGGCTGGGAATTGAACCAGTGACCTTTCAGTTTGCTGCATCATGCCCAACCACCTGAGCCCACTATTGGGGATTTTTTTGTCCCCTTTTAATGCTTTTTGTTTGAATTCTGTTTAGTCTCTTTGTATTTGTTTTCTGTTAACATTTGCTTGATACAGTGGACTAGCATTGTTCAAGCATTTATTTTGCATACACAAATTTAATTCTATAAATATGGCAGATAAGTAAGTGGTGCCAGTGATTTCCACCCACTGATTTGGTCAGTGAATATGTACATAATTCAGAGTAAACATAGGGGTGAGAGTTGTGAGTCTTATTTTCTTGGTAGGTCAAACTTGGAGGGGCATCTTTCATCTTGTGAGCATAGCACATGTTAAATTCAGTGCTGGTCTTGAAACATGGGTTTGACTTTGAAAACTCCGTGGTTCCTACATGTAAGTCAACTTCTCTATCAGTCTCCAGTGAGGTGCTTAAGATTTTGATATGAGTACTTTTGACTGAAAGCCAGTTTTATTTTAAAAAGCATGGAGCTCTTCCCTATGGGACTCTTTTGGGGCTGTTTTACCATTTATCTTCAGTCTACTTGTATAATCTTGTTTTAGAGATATGTTTAAGTAAGCATGTAGTTGAATTTCCTCTTCAATCTGGAAGAGAAATTTGGCTTATTTGTGATTATTGACCCATTCTTGTGATTTTTAACCTTGTATTTATCATATTTTTATTGCTTGTTTTTGCACTGATTTTTTCTCTACTATTTGAAGGTCTTATGTTCATTTCTTTTCTTCTAGATGGTTTAATGCTTTTAAACCATTACTTCTTTATTCAGAATTAGTGAGAATCCGTATCTTCCTTTCCTCAAACGGACAGAACTGCTGCTTGCTTACTCTTCCCTTTCTTCCCTCTTCTACTTCCTGTGTTGAAATCATGTAAGTATTTTAGTTTCACATTATTTATTTTTCTAAAAGTTAGCCTGTACTGCTTCTTTTGCTTATCACTGTTCCTCATAGCTCATTTCTTTCTTTTTTACTTTTTAAAGACTTTATTTATTTATTTTTAGAGAGAAGGGTAGGGAAGGAGAAAGGGAGAGAAACATAACTGTGTGGTTGCCTCTCACACTTCACCCTACTGGAGACCTGGCCCACAGCCCAGGCAGGTACCCTGACTGGGAATCGAACCAGCGACCCTTTGGTTCCCAGGCTGGCGTTCAGTCCACTGAGCCACACCAGCCAGTGCTCATAGCTCATTTCCTAGATGCTTTAAAAAATATATTGGAGGGCATTTTACTAATTACTCCAGAGAAACTCTTTGGATAGTAAATATTGAGCTCTTTTTATGTGTGAAATTGTCTTTTGCACTACCACTTGAAAGCTAATTTGTCTAGATAAGAATTTCAAAATTTTTCCTTATCATTTTGAAGCTATTGCTCCATTGTCTTCTACCAGCTGTGTCGCTGATGAAGTCTTAATTTTACCCTTATGTGATTTATGTATCTTTTTAGGAATACGCTTTTTCCCTTGGAAGTTTTTAGGATTTCCTGAAATTTCAATACGATGTGTCCAAGTACTCCCTTTCTCCACTAATAGATTCTGTTTAACACAGTGCATCTTTCAACCTGATGGTTAATATTCTTCCTCTATCCTTTATTTCCCCCAGAAAATTTCTAGATAGATGTTGGACTATGGTTCTGTATTCTTTATGTATACCTTTCCTTCATACTCAAGAGGCATTTTGGGAGAATTTCTTAGTTTTCCTTTTTTTTTTCTTTCTGTGCTTATTTTCTTGTTGAATGTACTTGTTAAGCTTTATTTTGGATATCAGTTTTCTCCTTTTTTGTAAATGTGTCTTTATTGAGGTATAATCTACATAAAATAAACTGCTTTCATTACAAGTGTACAGTTACATGTATTTTTACAGATACATATAACTATGGTGCTCCCCCCACCCTGCCCCTACAGTCATGATTGAGGTTACCATGGAAAGTTTTCTCTTGCCCCTGTGCAGTCCTTTCTTCTCTCCCCCAGCCTATGATCTACTTCCTGTCAGATGCAAGAATTAGTTTGCATTTTTAGAGGTTCATATAAATGGAATCATATAGTATGTAGCCTTTTGTGTAAACATATTTTTGAGATTTATCTATGTTAAGTGTATAGTAGTTTGTCCTCCTTAATTGGTTGTGAACCTACCCCCCATAAATGAGGATACAGGTCACAGACGTTATTTAGGTTTCACCTTTTTACATAAACTCTTTTGTGTACGTGGTTTACTTCTGTATAATTTTATCATGTGTAGATTTTTGCAGCCACAACCACAGCTGACAGTTATTTCTTCTGATTTTTTAAAATGGTAGTTTATTCATTTTTCATGGATGAAATCTCATTTTATCTCTGCGATATTGACGATTGTTAAGTCTCCTCTTTGTTCCTGCAACTCTTTCTTCATATGTTCAGCTGCTTCTTTTTGTGGTGTTGATATCCCTTTTGGTGATTCTAATTTGTAAAGTGATATTTCTGGTTTGAGGATTGCTGTTTTCCTGTCTGTGGGTGCAGTGTCTGTTTACCAGTCTGTCAGGTTGGATTGAAGGGAAGAGATTGGATATATGGCCAGAACTGGACACCTGTTTCTTCTGGTTAATAACAGCCACTTGGGTGCCATCCTGAATCTTGGGTTCAAGTGCCTGTGCTCATTGAAGACATTTTCTCTGTTGGCTGGAGGAAGGGAGGTGGGGAGCGGTTCTCAGTAGAGGGAAGTGACTGGCCTGTCCAGTTGCATCACGATTGTACCAGAACCCCTGTTTCCCCGTGGCAGTCACCCCATCCGTAGCTTGGATGGAACACCCCACTCTCCCCCCCACCTCCGTAGCTGCTCCCCAATTAGTACAATATTCCTTTTTTGATGTTTCTATACAGTTACTGCCTTTATCAACCTAGGTCTCCTGATAGTGTCATTTCTTATTTCCAGAATTATTTTAGAAAATAGTATATCAATAAGTATGTATCTTTAGTCATTTCTGGGATTTAACGTGGGAAGGGGAAGGCATGTATATCTATGCAGTCCATCTTGATCCAACCCCTGAAGTCATTCTTTCGGGAAGGATACTTTTGGTTACAGGTAATAACTTTGAAACATCTGTTCAGTTGAAACCTATTTTTTTAGGACATTGGGTTTTGAGAGAAATTGAACACTGGAGCTTATATTAATGTTACATGGGGTGGGGAGTTTTTCTTTACCTCTAGTTTGAGTACTAAACCAGAGTTCTGAAAACTTCCAAAATTTCTTCTGTAAGTCAAGGGGAAGGGTGAAAATTTTCATTTTCATTTTTTTTCCAGAAGGTTCATGGGTAGTCTTTTTGATGTTTTTAAATATTTCACAGCGTAGTTTGGGCTTGTCTTTAAAAGAGTGTTGGGTTGGCTCAATATGCTGAAACTTTTCTTCCTGGTCTTTATAATTTTTTAAAAAATACTCGCTTCCAAATCAGACAATTATATTTCTTTCCCCCAAAACCTGTTTATATAGTCCTAGGAAATTTTAGAGTTTGAAATAAGTTTCTAATCTAGTAAGTGTAAATTTAGTTTTCATGAAAAAGTTGTTTTGACTTTCTTTTTTCCTCCCCCATTTAGTTTTTCCATGGTTTGGCTTGGATATTGGTGGAACCCTAGTCAAGCTGGTTTATTTTGAACCCAAAGACATCACTGCTGAGGAAGAAGAGGAAGAAGTGGAAAGTCTTAAAAGCATTCGGAAGTATCTGACCTCCAATGTGGCTTACGGGTCCACGGGTATTCGGGACGTGCACCTGGAACTGAAGGACCTGACTCTGTGTGGACGCAAAGGCAATCTGCACTTTATACGCTTTCCCACTCATGACATGCCTGCTTTTATTCAAATGGGCAGAGATAAAAACTTCTCAAGTCTCCACACTGTCTTTTGTGCCACTGGAGGTGGAGCGTACAAATTTGAGCAGGATTTTCTCACAGTATGCATTTTTTTAGATTATATACAATTTATGATAATCTGTTAAAAATAATAACCAGTAGCAAGTGTTGGAATCATTTCCATCTCTAATAGAATTTAAATATTCTTGAGTCAAATTAAGATTAAATATAAATTAGTGATAGGAGTTAGCCATCTAGGGATTGTTGTGTAGTTTACTTTTTGTCCAGTTCAGATGAATTGATGAGAATCAAAACTACTAAAAACATGGCATTTTGTTCTTTTAGTATGGAAAAATAATGAAGCTGTCATAAGCAAAGTAAATCAACCATGAGGAACAGCTTCATTATATCTGGAACAATGAGATTAAAAAATAATAAAATTAATGTCATTTCATGGCATAACATTGTTTCCAATCTCCTTTACATCATAGTGTTTCTTGTCCCCTTCAATTATTTCTTGGAAAGTTTACTTTAAAAAAAAAAAAACAAGGAAGACAAAGACAAGACAAAAAAAAAAACCCTTATCATTGTTCCTCATAGCCCCCCCCCTTTTTTTTTAAGATTTTCTAAATTTAGAGAGATAGGAAGGAGAAAGGGAGAGAAACATCATTGTGTGGTTGCTTCTCGCACTTCCCCCTACTGGGGACCTGGTTACAGCTCAGGCATATGTGCCCTGACTGGGAATTGAACCGGAGACCCTTTGGTTCACAGACTCGCGCTCAGTCCACTGAGCCACACCAACCAGTGCTCATAGCTCATTTCTTAAATGCTTTTAAAAATATATTGGAGTGCATTTTACTAATTACTTCAGAGAAGCTCTTTGGGTAGTAAATGTTGAGCTCTTTTATGTATGAAAATGTCTTTTGCACCGCCACTAAGGAACTCTGGTCCAAAGTGGTGATTTTCAGGCCTCTAAACTAGTTAGAGATTGTTGACAGCAGACCCTTCTCTCCCTGAATGCCTTCTGATGTGTTCTGTGCAGCACACTTGTTAATAGGAGTCTCTAGATCATGTGTGGGCACTAGGGGAAGTGTCAGTGGGCACTGTGTGCAAGGCCTTGAGGCTAGGTACTTTGAAGGTAGATGTAGGGGTGGGTGCAGAAATTGATAAGTGTATTGGCCAAGACTTTGACCTTCAGATTTAAAAATACCTTCAGTGACCATGTTTTTAATGCCACCAATGAGAATATTATTCCAGAGATTCTGCCATTGTGTCATTCTACATGTGTCTCCTTCCCACCCCTGTACCCTGTGTCACCGCATGGTTTATGACCGTGTTTTCTTTTTTTGTCCTTTATCTCCTGACTTTCTCTGACCGTAATCATAGTATAGATGAGAATTTTGAAAATTAAATTTTAAATACTATTTTATATTCTTTGTATTTCCCTTGGTTGTTGGTTTTCAGTGGACTCTTTTCACCTGTGAGTAGAGGAAGGTAGCAGGAAGGAGGGAAAATTCTCCTTTTTGTGGAAGGATCATAGTGGACTCTGGACCATGACTGATAGGTAAAGGAGAACACCTTTGTTTTCAGGACCTTGCAGAGATACCCTTTGGAATATATTGGAAAACCAGTCAGGGTGTTATCAGAGGTTTCAAAATTGTGTGGTACCTTCAAGGAGAGGGTGCAAAGTGGATTTTAGATCTTAGGGATGGCTTCTTAGGCTTTTGGGGCTTTTCTTTGTGTGCACCAGCACCATCTTTGAAAACTGAAAATGAAGTGCCTATCAAATCCTGTTTGTACATTAGGAATGACTAATATTAAATAAACCACAGTGAAACAGTTTTTAAAAACTTTTAAATTATTTTTAAATTTTTCAATTACAGTTGACACATATTATTATATTATTTTCAGGTATATATCCCAGTAATTAGACATTATATAACTTACTTAGTGATCATCCTGATAAATCTTACACACATCTGAGACCATACACAGTTATTAGAATATTTTTCACTATATCTCTATGCTGTATAGTCTTTATATTCCCATGACTATTCCGTGACCACCAATTTGTACTTAATTCCTTCACCTTTTTCACTCATCCTCAAACCCCCTCCCATCTTGCAACCATCAAATTTTTCTACATCTGTGAGTCTGTTTCTGTTTTGCTTATTTGTTTATTTTGTTTTTTTAGAGTCAATTTTTGATAGGTATGGCCATTTTGTTCATATTTTCAATTTTTTTTTTTTCCTTAAAGAAGAAAGACCCTTTAACATTTCATATTATACTGGTTTGGTGGTGATGAACTCCTTTACCATTTTCTTGTCTGGGAAGATCTTTACCTGCTTTGATTCTAAACAATAGCTTTGCTGGGTAGACTAATCTTGGTTGTACATCCTTGCTTTTCATCACTTTGAATATCTCCAGTTTGTTTCGGCCTGCTGCTGGTGTCTGGCCTGAGGCCACTTAGTGAGAGGAATGGGGCACACTGAAGGAAGATGCTGCTCTTTTGAGTTTTTAGGAAAATCTGAAGCATGAGCCAAGGCAGGCCATTTGTATGGAGAAGCCACTGGAAGCAGCTTGGGTGGGCCAGAAGTTGGTGATGCAGGGCCTCAGGGAATTATGAAGGGGCAGGGAGCAATGCAGTGTGAGCCAGATTGGTGGACACAGATATGGGGCACACCTGCCTGCTCTGTGGGGGTGATAACTCAGAAAAGGAACAATGGCCTCTGTCAGCCGTTCTGTCTGGGAGAAAGCTCCACACCCTTCCTTCCCTCTTCCCCCAGCTTTTACCCTGATGCAGGACAATTCAGTTTTTCCCTGTATGTCTCTGGTACCTTTTAAATTGCTGCCACAGTGCTGGAGTTCAAAGGGAGTGAGTCTGAGTAGTGAGTGAGGAGTGAGTGATTCATTTGTGGGTCCTTTAAGAGGAACTGCCTGAGATTTCAGAAGCCCTCCACCTCCCTCAGCCTCAATTCTTGCTGGTTTTTACAGCTAGAGGTTATGGGGACATCTCTTCCTGGCACTGGAACCTCGGGATTGGGGTCGCGGCGGGGAGGGCACTGGTGTGGGGCTGGGTTCTCTTGCTTCGTAGGGGGACCTCTGCAGCCAAGATACCATTCCTGATTTTTATCCACCACATGTGGGTGTGGAACCAGTCCGTTTTGTATCTCTGTCCTTCCTACCAGTCTTGATGTGGCTTCTTTAATTCTCTAGTTGTAGGACTTTCAGTCAGCTCAATTTCAGGCAGTTCTGAATGATAGTTGTTTTCTTCTGTAGTTTAGTTGTAATTTTGATGTGGTTGTGGGAAGAAGTGAATACTGTGTTTACTTATGCCTCCATCTTGATGGAAAGTCAAAGCTCGATCTCTGAAACAGTTTTTAAAATACTGTTACATTTTTTTTTTTAAATGTGAATCAGGTTTCCTCACATACTGAGTTTGCATGTTGGTGCAACACTTTGTACATAGAGTACTTTGAGTTAATGAAATGACCTATGCATTCTGTCATCTAACTGTGTCAGTGAAGCTGGGCTTTACTAAGAATAATAATAGCACAGCAGGCCACGTCAGGATAACATGAATTATGGGAAGGACAAAAGGAGATACTAATTTGACATACAATGGCAGAAAACTACTTGGATTCCATTGAGCCACCAGTATAAAATGACTTGTCTAAGAGATGAAATGGCTGGCACTTGAGATTCAAGTGTCAGGAAATTGGTATTTAAATTTGTCTTGGCAGGGAGGGCTCTGGCACATGAAATAAGGACAGTGATGAACAAAGGGCTTGGGTTCAGTCAGAGGAGTAACTTAATCTTAATGAAGGATTAATATGAAGTTCCCTGTTAACTTCCATCTCCATTCTGGATCAGAATAAATTACATGTAAATGTAATCAGACATATGGGAGTTGATTTAATCGGGGAGTACTTGAGAGCTGACCTTGGTTGTCAACAGAAATAGGTGCTTTAGGGTTGAGGCATCTTTATATTTGTTGTATATATTGAGTATATATGTTTGTAAACATTCAAGTGGGTTAAAAGTTCATAGAGTAAAAACATGGACATTTCTTTATTTCATCTCTCTCCAGCGTTAACCACTGTTAAAAGTTTATGTATCTTTTTATCTTCTCTATGCATGGCTGTATGACACAGACATATAAACATGGTTTTACAAATAGGCAGATTGGATCATTATAAAATATTTCAGCTTTTTTTGACTAACATGTCTTTAAATTTTCCCACTTCAGTTTTTTATTGAATGAAAATCTGCATCCTTAATTTCTGTAGTGATCCATAATATAAATAATAATTACATCATTTATTGATTATTTAAGTGAAGTTAAGTTGATAATAATGTTTTAAATTCTTATGAAATCCCCCTGTTCCCCAGAGGCTGTAACTTGTTTAGATAGTGAAAAATCTTACCTTCACATTGTCTACTTGCAGCCTTTTGGCTTTACGTTATTAATTATAAAGTGTGACCTATTTTGTTACTGCTCCATAGCCTTGAATGAAGATGGTCTGTTGGAAGGCAGATGTCAGTCTTTGTGGCTCCTGCCTGTGTCACCAGATGCTTGCATCACTTAAACTTCTTGGAGCCTGCTTTTGCTAGGGCTGTGACTTCCGCCATGCTCCTGCTTCATGCCTGTGAGCAGACGTCTTGTTTTCTGCCTGGGTATTTGGCACATTTTCTCTTGCTGCTTCAGTGGTTTGTAGGTAGAGTGCATTTGGGTCTGTGAGAGCAGGAGTCTGTCTGATCGGTTCACCCCTGTTTGTTGTCTCCAGATTTGCTCTGTGAAGCATGCACAAATAATATACATCCTTGAGTGCTTTCATGGTTTGTTTAATGTAGATGGGATGCCTTATTAAATGGATTTTTTTATATCGGCTTGTTAAAAAGTCTGAAAACATTTTATTTTATTACAGATAGGTGAGCTTCAGCTTTGCAAACTTGATGAACTAGATTGCTTAATAAAAGGAATTTTATACATTGACTCGGTTGGATTCAATGGACGGTCACAGTGCTATTACTTTGAAAACCCTGCTGATTCTGAAAATTGTCAGAAGTTACCGTTTGATTTGAAAAATCCATACCCTCTTCTTCTGGTGAACATTGGCTCTGGGGTTAGCATCTTAGCGGTATACTCCAAAGATAATTACAAGCGGGTCACCGGTACCAGGTAGGTCTTTTGTATTCTTGATATCACATAGGCATTGCATATAAATACACTTAAAAATCTGTGAAAATTATGTGAAAGATAAAACAGCTTCTGGGATTATGCAAACAAATGTTTCGCTTTGAAAATTCTGATTTTATGACCTACTTTTCTTTAATCTGTATTGCTGCAGGTTTCATTACCATAGTTTTATAAACTCTCATCAGCAGACTCACTGATCCCATAATCCCTGCCCTCAGATAGTGTAGGGTGTTCATAAAGGAACCAAAGCTTGGTAGCCTCTATGAGGAGAAGGCAAGGCAAGGCAATGTTACAGCTTTGAAACTGATCTAGATATTATACATGTGTATAAACGCACGCATGCCTGCACATGCACACGGGCTTGTGGTTTGAGGATGATGAGAGATCTAGAAGTTGAGATGTTGAACAACAGAAAAATGATTGCGGGGGGAGTAGTCTGAAAGGAAAAATTAGGTAGCAGATGAGAAAGGAATACACTTTGATTCAAGGATCAGAGACTACTTGAAGAAAAACAAGGGGCTGGGAATTGGGATAAACAAGTTTTTTAATAGGTGTGAGTTAGAGAATGAGAGGAGTAAGTTGTTTTGTTTTTTGGGGGGGAGGGGAACCACATTAATAGAGGAGATACTGTGGGGTGGGAGTTGATGAGCCAGGGTGACAAATTCTTGTAGGGGGATGATGTGGAGCCTGCACTCGGAGAGCGAAAGGGGAGAGGCCCAGCGTGGTCCTGGGTGCAGTAGGCTGATTTGCACTTGGGGGGTTTCGCAAACTCAGTAGTTGCCCAGACTGAACTGGAGAAGTGGGTAGGGAGGTGGTTCCTGTGTTTTGCTATGTTGCTTGTTAGTACACATGAATGTTTATTTTCAGGGGTATATTAGGGACCTGTTCTTTTCACCGATTGACCTTCCTCCCTCCCTCCCTCCCTTCATTCCTTCCAACTTTATTTTTAGAGAGAGGGGAAGGGAAGGAAAAGGGGCGAGAAGCATCGATGTGCGACAGAAACATCCATTGGTTGCCTTTCACACACATCCGACCAGGGACCTGGTCTGCAACCCAGGCATGTGCCCCATAAACCAGCGACCTTTTATTTGCAGGATGACGCCCAAACCACTGAGACGCCAGTCAGGGCCTCACAGACTTTGGCTGGTGGCATCTGCGTGATTGGGTCAGGGCAAGAGCAGGATTGATACGTGAATAGGGTTTTGGGTTTATAAACGTTACCTTCCTATTATTTAAAAAAAATGTTACAATACTGTGTTGTTTATTTTTAATCACAGTCTTGGAGGAGGAACATTTTTTGGTCTCTGCTGTCTGCTTACTGGCTGTACCACTTTTGAAGAAGCTCTTGAAATGGCATCTCGTGGAGATAGCACTAAAGTAGATAAACTAGTGCGAGACATTTATGGAGGAGACTATGAGAGGTTTGGACTGCCAGGCTGGGCTGTGGCTTCAAGGTAAGGGGGCGGCATGTACTAAGAAATATAGAAATTAAAAAAAAATATTGGGTATAACTTTTTCCTTTCTAAATAGCTTTATGTACTATTAAGTCACTTGTTTAATGTGTCCAATTTAGTGATTTCTAGTTTATTTACAGAATTGTGCAGTCATCATCATAATCCAATTTTAGAACATTTTTGTCATCCCAGAAAGAAACCTTGTATTCATTAGCTATCACTTCTCAAACCCTCCCCCACCCCCCAACCTCCTCATCCCCTCCCACCCTCTGATAAACATGCATCTATTTTCTGTCTCTAGATTTGCCTATTCTGGACACTTCATATAAATGGAATCATACGATATGTGATTTTTGTTTAGCTTAATATTTTCACAGTTCATCCATATTGTAGCATAAGTTAGTATTTTGTTCATTTGTTTTTAAGTTTTTATTTATTAATTCAAGAGAGAAAGAGAAACATTGCTTTGTTGTTCCACTTACTTATGCATTCATTGATTATTTCTCGTATGTGCCCTGATTGAGGATCAAACCTGCAACCTTGGTATATTGGGATGACACCCCTAACCAGCTGAGATAACTGGCAAGGGCCTGGTATTTTTGTTCCTTTTTTAATGATGGATAGTATTCCATTGTTTGGATATACAGCATTTTATTTACCCATTTTTCTGACCAGAATTGTGGGATCATGTGGTAATTCTGTGTTTAATCTTTTGAGGAACTACAGACTTTTTTTTACTATTTTACAATCATACCTGCAGTATATAATGGTTTAAATTTCTCCACATCCTTGCTAACATTGTCTTTTTGGTTTAAACTGCTTAATAGGTGTAAAGTGATCTCTCATTGTAGTTTTGATTTCCATTTCCCCAAGGATGTTGAACATCTTTTCATGTCTTTATTGACTGTCTTCTTTGGAGAAATGTCTCTTCAAGTCTTTTGCTCGTTTTTTAACTGGATTATTTGTCTTTTATTATTGAGTTGTAAGAATTCTTACATGTTCTAGATATAAGTCCCTTATCAAATATGTAATTTACAAGTATTTTCTTCCATTCTGTTGGTTGTCTTTACTCCCTTGATGGTATCCTTTGCAACATAGAAGTTTTACATTTAAATAGATCTTTTCTGTTCTTTCACTACTCTACTTTTGGTATTACGTATAACCCTAAGAATATGAAGATTTACTTTTTGTATTTTCTTTTAAGAGTTTTGTAGTTTTAGTTCTTACATTTAGGTCTCTGATCCATTTTGAGTTAGTTTTTGTGTATGGTGTGAGGTAGAGGTCCAAATCAATTCTTTCACATATGGATATACAGTTGTCTCAGCACCATATTTTTAAAAAGATTTTATTTATTTTGAGAGAAGGGAAGGAGAGAGGGAAAACATCAGTGTGTGGTTGCCTTTGGTACGCCCCTACTGGGGACCTGGCCTGCAACCCAGGCATGTGCCCTGACTGGGAATTGAACCAGTGACCCTTTGGTTCACAGGCCCCTGCTCAGTCCACTGAGTCATACCACCCAGGGCAAATGTATAGTTTATTTTTGAACTCTTGGTTCTGTTCTGTTGATGTTTATCATTATGCCATTACCACACTGCTTTGAATACTGCAGCTTTGTATTAAGTTTTGAAATTGAGAAGTGTGAGGCTTCCAGTTTGGTTTTTTTCAGGATTGTTTTGGCTTGTCTGCATCCCTTGACTTTCTCTATGAACTTTAGGATCTGGTTGCCAATATCTGCAAAAAAGGAAAAGTAGCATTTTGATAGGGATTGTGTTGAATCCTAGATCATTTTGGAGAATATTGAAGCTTTTGACATTATCTAGTCTTCTGATCCAAGAACATGGCATGTCTACTTACTTAGATCTTTGCTTTCTTTTCACCAGTGTGTTGTAGTTTTCAGTGCATATACTTTTGTTAAATATATCTCTTACGTATTTTATTCTCTTTATGCTGTTGTAAGTGGAGTTGTTTTCTTAATTTTATTTTTGGATTGTTTGGAGATTTTGTGTATATGTGTGTGTTGGGGCACATAGTTTTTAATAATAGAAAAGGCACTCATACACATGCTTGTTTACTAATTTTAGGTACTTTGTACATCCCGTAGATTTCGTTTTCTATGTTTGCAGCATTTGCTCATAGGTAATCACTTTTATGATTGGTTGTGCTTGTTTTCTGGTTACGCTTTGCTAGGATAAAGCAGTTTACCAGACAGATGTGACTATGACCCTTTAGCTGAGTGGAACAGCTGTGCGGTTGGGGAGGAATTGTTAATAGAGGTGTCTTTCTGAAACTTTTCCCTGGTTGCAGAAGGAGCAGTGGTGCCTTGCAGTGGGTCTGGTGAGATCCTAACTGAATATGTGACTATCTTGTATCAAAGCTTGATAGAGTGCAGTGGAAACCACAAGGAAAGACATTTGCTCATTAGAATGCTTGAGGGTTCTCTTTGAAGCTGCATTTCTCTTTGAGCAGATGCCCCTTTATTTTGTAATGAAAAGCTTGAAGATTTGAACATTACTTTAAAAGTTACATTCAAGTTCTGTTGGGCTGTGTTGCCTTTGGTTTATCAAAGATACATATATATATATATGTATGTATATTCTTCCCCCACCCCATCACAGCTTTGGAAACATGATGAGCAAGGAGAAACGAGAAGCTGCCAGTAAAGAGGACCTTGCTAGAGCAACTTTGATCACCATCACCAACAACATTGGCTCGATAGCAAGAATGTGTGCCCTTAATGAAGTAAGGGGACATGAATTTCTTTAGTTGCTCCGAGGAAAATAACCGAAGAACGTCCTAAGCGGGCCCCACCTTGTATAGAACATCTGTCTTCCCTGAATGGGGCCTAATTGCAGTCATATGTGGTGGAATTTGTTTCATTGGTGCAGATAAACTCTTCACACGTAGATTAATCTTAATTGATTTTTTTCTTACTGAAAATAAACACTATTACTGTCTAGCAATGGAGGAGAAAGAAGAGGCAGGCAGGAGGGTAGCCAGTGTGCCAGGTGATGGGGGACTGTTGGGTTGTGGGAAGTGAGAGCAGTGCTGACCTTGACTCCATGCTCGTTGTGGAGTCCCTGGGAAGGAATCCAGAGGAAGTCACGGAAGCTGGGAGAAGACTGACCGGGCCCACGCAGTGCCTGCCCTGCTCCCCCTCCACCGCAGCAGAGCTGTCTTTGTGCTTTCAGCTTCTTTACAGTGCTGCCTTGTAGCATTCAGGTCAAGCAGCATTGTACAGGGCTATGAAAGAACCAAGAATGGCCTTCCCTTGGGGATCCAGTTGGTGCAGCTTTATAGCTCCTCCCTATTTATACATTTTTGTTTCAAATTATTCTTTTAAACAGATAGAGATGTGGCTTAAAAAGGAAACTTTAAAAGGTGCAAAAAGATTGTGTCATTTTTAATTAGAAAGATACTGTATCAGCATCAAGTAATTTTTAAAAACCCTCTTCATTTGAATATTTTAACAGTTTTCTTTATTGCATGTTCCCTTTCCTGTGTTTATGCATTTAAGATTTTAGTTGGTATACATACCATTTTATATTTTTTATGTAACTATAAATTTCATGGCTGTATATTTGGTTTATTTTTATGTCATACATCATTCACATCAGGCTGGGCATTTGGTTGCTTGCCAATGATAGCTCTGTAGTAAAGCATTTTTAAAGGTGAAACTGTTTCTTGGTTGGATTTTATCCTTGATAAGGGACTTAGTCCGAAGTGAGTTTTCTCATATAAAGAATATGACCATGTTATGAATCTTGATAGGTATTGCCAAGGTGCTTTCTTTGCACAAGGGGCGTACCAATATAGAACATCTTTAGCAATAAATGAATGGGTCAGTTTTACCACAACTTGACTAAAAATTGGGTGGAATTTTGGTTAGTTGTTTTGCTAACATTTAATGGGTCTAAATTTTTACTTTTTTTGGATTACTAATGAGGTCGAATTTCTTTTCTGTGATATTTCTTGTATAATTTGCCTATTTGTGTTACTTTCCTTCTTTGAATTGGATCTTTTTTTTACTTTGTATAAAACTTTTTAATAGTAGTTATTTGTCATATTTAATACACACGTTTTTCCTAATCTGTTTTCTCCTGTGATATTTTCTGGCATGTTTTGAAGTGGGGCCAGAGTTATGTGGGGATCAAATTAAGCAGCCCTTGATCAATTGGAGTAAATATAAGCACTTGTTTTTGATCAGAAGTCAGTTTGCTGCTAGAAACTATGCACGTGGTCTCTGGGGTAGCTTTTACAAGAGGACAGAAATTAAGATGAAAACTAATTGCCTTCTTTTGATGTGCTCAGAATATTAACCAGGTGGTATTTGTTGGAAATTTCTTGAGAGTTAATACGATCGCCATGCGGCTTTTGGCATATGCTTTGGATTATTGGTCCAAGGGACAGTTGAAAGCACTTTTTTCGGAACACGAGGTAAGCAGCCTTATTTCCTGTAATATGTCACTTACATAAAGGGCATGCGGTTCACACTGTGTAATTTGAAGTAGAGGTGAAAAGGGCTGCAGTACTTACATGTTTTTGTAATTGTACAATACGGGGTTTAACTTTGATCTAATGTTCAGAAGGTATTTATTTTTTATTATTTTTTTATTGTTATTGGAGACAAATACATTTGTCTCCATTTTCCCACCACCACTTTCCCATGTCCCACCTCCTCCCTCCTCCCTCAGTCCTTCCCCACTTAGTCTTTGTCCATGGGTTCTTTATACCAAAAGCTATTTCTTAAACTTGATTTAATGCAAGATAGATTTTTGGTTAATTTCATCGTGAGCTTCAGCAATTTTAAAGAAGTCTGGATGAATGTTCGGCCATATTTTTGATGCCTTATTCTTTTCTGAACCATCCATTATGCTTTTCCTGTTGTGCTTTATAAATGTACTCTCTGGGTTCTGCTTATTTCATTTTTTGAGTAAGTTTTTGTGCATTGGCCCAGTTCATCCCATTTCTTTAACATTTATGTTTTGAAAACAGATCAGTAAAAAGCATTCCAGGACTAGAAACACAGTATCATAAAAACTTAAGACATAGACAAGCTAGAAATGACAAAATGGAAGAGTCATTGAATTGCTCAATCTGATATCCTATTTTGGAAAACGCTCTCTCTTTCCTATCCTTGGTTGTGTGGCAGTTGAACTATTTCAAGTGTTGTTGGGTTTTAGTGTTATCATGAATGTTTTTCAAAATTGTATGAATGTATACATATTTTTTTATTCTCACCCAAGGACATACTTGACTTTAGAGGGAGGGGAAAGGAGGGAGAGAGAGAAGCATCGATGTGAGATAAAAACATTGATTGGTTGCCTCTCATATATGCTCCGACTGGGGACTGAACCCCCACAACCTGGGAAATGTGCCCTGACTGGGGATGGAACCTTCAACCTGGTTATGGACGACCTTCCAACCAGCTGAACCACACTGGCCAGGGCTATATGTGTGTTACTTTTACCAGTGTTTATATGAATTGACAGAAATCAAAGTAGGATTTGAGGTGCTCTAGAGATTGCTTTTTACTTTAAAATAGCTTTAAGTTGTACAAGTTCATGGTTAAAACCCAAAGTGCACAAATTTCCCATATCAAGATGCTTAAAGTTCAAGACATATAACTTGTTTATTGCTTCTAATGTTGTCTTAGTAAATTGGTACCAAGTTATCATTGTTTCTTACACCTTTTATATACATCTTGTTTGTAGTGATCTTTTTACCTGTTTTGTTTAATGTTAGAATAAAAATAAATCATGCTTAATGTTAAATTTTAGAGTAACTTTCTTCCTGCTGAAATTCTACCTCTTCTTGAACCTTTTTCCTAGGTAGAACATAGAGATTGATTTCTTAGGTTAATTTTTTTATACTTCATGTTATCACAGTTAAAATATGAACCCTTCATGAAATTTTAAAAAAATATTTTGTAATTCTTACTGCCTGCCGACTTAGGTTTCCTCTCTGGTTAGAAATGCTGGTCCATTTGTTTTCTGTTTGCACTCAGGCTTCTGATTCTAGTATTAATTTCTGCACGTATGGAACTTTGACTATTTTAGGCTCTCTGGTTCTTGAAATACAGTTGACCCTTGAACATTAATGAGAGTTTGAATTGTGCAGGCCCATGTATACTTGAAATTTGTTTTTTAGATTTTATTTATTTTTAGAGAGAGGGGAAGAGGGGAGAATGAGAAGGAGAGAAACATCATTGTGAGACGTGAGAGAGAAACATTGACTGGTTGCCTCCTGCACACCCGCTACGGGGGACCTGGCCTGTAACCCAGGCATGTGCCCTGACCAGGAATCAAACCAGCAACCTTTCAGTTCAGAGGCTGACGCTCAGCTGACGCTCAATCCCCTGAGCCACACCAGCTCGGCCTGAATTTTTTCAGTAAATACAGTTGGCCCTTTGTACCTATTGGTTTTGAATCCATGATTCAATGGACCAGAGATCAAAAACAGTATTTTTGAATTCCCAACCTCCGTCTCCCAGCAGCTGATTCCCAAACATGGATCAAAAATACTGTGCTCAGGAAATGAGTGTCAGGAATTAATGGCAGTGTTGGCTTTAACACTAGTAGTCATTTATGGTAATTTAAGTAATTCTAAAGAAAATTGCTCTTATTTGTGTGTGTGTGTGTGTGTGTTTTCTTTTTTCAGGGTTATTTTGGAGCTGTTGGAGCACTCCTTGAGCTGTTGAAGATCCCCTGATTGTTACCTGGGAAGGGGGGTTCCTGGAACCTTCCATATTGGGATCTGTGAACTTCTGTTTTTTAAGAGCCTTACTTAATTTTATGATTGTTTATTACCTGAATCAAAGCAAGAAAGGACAAGGGACTTTTTCTAAGTCATCAAGATAAATCCTTAATTCAGTCCAAACTAGTAACCAGTAAGGAAAGATTTATATATATGTAAAGTGGACCATGCTCATGGAAGTGAGGAATTGCTGTATAATACCTGCTGTATATTTTTGAAATTCAGTGTCACTCACTGGAGGCACTTCAAGGGCAGAGCTCTTCTTTGTTCACCTGATTGTGGTTTTGTATGCCATTGAACTGGGTAAATGTAAGAGAAGTTACCATGTGCTGTAATCTAATCACAGTTTTGTCATTACTGTCTTGGAGACATCACCTGTTCATGAACTCTGTTGTGTATTTAGCCTTTGTGTGAACATACTGAAAAACGTGTATTATTTCAAGATTCTGCGGACTTAATTGGGCAGGTTAATTCTGCATCTGTAATTTTGACAATTAAGCAGCTTTCAGAAGGACAGTTCCAGTTTACTTCATGCCATAAATCCTAGGCAGTTCTGTTTGGAAGGACAGGACTTGTGAGGGCGGAATTAAATTGGGTATTGGGCTTACTATTGACCTGATGGAAGTGAAGTGAGTAAACTGGGACCAAATGAATAATCTGGAAGGCTAAAACCAGACAAAAGGCTGCCTTTTTTTCTCCCAGGAAACTGGGGAGAATCTGGTTTCACTTTCAGGCTAATAGAAATGAAGGAGTTGAGGTGTCCACTAACTCATGGGGAGCAAGGTGGGTTCTTCCCGCCTTTCCCTCCCACTCCTGCTCTGGCACGTGCCAGCCCTCCAGGTGCAGTCGTGATTTCTCTGGCTTGCTCAGAAGGCTGCTGCTTTGGGAGACAGGTTTTGAGGTTGAGTATTGATAAACTCTGGACCTTTTCTTTCTGCTGTGCAGAATAATTTTTAAAAACCTTCCCCTTGGAGATGGGATATTTGTGTCTCATTTTGTATATAATTTGGTGCCTGTATTGCCGTTGAAGGCAATTAAGAGTCTATTAAAGCAGCTTTTCCTTTTTTTTAACCCCCACCCTAGGACACGCTTACTGATTTTAGGGGAGGGAGGGAGAGAGAATCATCAGTGTGAGAAACATTGGTTGGTTGGCTCCTGCACCTACCTAGACTGGAGACCGGTATAAACTCGAAACCGAGGCATGTGTCCTGACGGAACCAAACCCCATGACTTTTTGGTTTACTGGACAGTACTCCGACCAACCGAGCCACACTGCCAGGACTAAAGTAGATTTTGAACCAGAAGGAAAGTCCAAGCTTCTGTGGTCTCCCTGCATCCCATTGTTACTGGCATAGGAGTCCAGTGGGGAACTTCCAAGGGACAGAAGAGTGCAGGGGGCCGGGCTGGGATCCTGGTGCCTCCCATGTTGGCCGCGTGGGGGCAGCAGAGGCCCGTGGCTTGTTAGGGCATGGCCATTTCCCCTGCTGTTGGGCCCGATAGTGCGATAGTGCGTGGTCCCTGGTACCTGTGGGTTGTGGGTGCTGCTGTCCCGGTGCAAATACTAGAGCTGGAGGGCCGTTGAGGGGGATGGGAATTGTGGTCCTTGGATGGCGCTGGAGGTGCCCCTTGCAGCGCTCCCTGGCCTCAGCCTGAGTCATACCTCCATCCTGTTCTCTGTCCTGTGTCACTTCCAGGCACTTGCTTGGTGGCCCCACTTTCCCTCCCACAGCCTGCAAAGACAGTGCTACCATTTATTTGCTGGTATCATGGTTGTATTTCTCGAGCCCCTCATGTTCCAGGCATTTGCTTGCTTGCTTGCTTGGGCCCAGTACCAGTCCCGTCCTCCCCAACCAAGGCAGAGAAGGGGAGGGAGCAGGAGCCAGCCCTCCTCTCAGACCTCTGATGTGGGGTCCTGCCTGTCTTCTAGAGGTTCTGCCAGTGCTTTACATGTGCTGTCTCATGCAGCTTTTTGTCTTCTCCACAGTTCAACAAAGCAAACTAGCCCAAAGTCAAACAGGCGGAGTCCCCCCTCTGCATTCGCCTTCCACCTCCAAGGACCCACATGCCATTCACTCTTGAGAAGCTGCCTCTGTAACATCACTTTTTGGGTTCTTGGCTTACTCTATCACTCCATGGAGTGGTTCTTGATAGGTCCACCAGTGAGTCTTGTTACTAAATCTGAGGGACGTTTTATGTCCTCACCTTCCTCAGGTCTAACACAGTAGACCTCTCTTGGCTTTCCCTCTGCCTTCCAGGCCTCTCTTGTCTCTGCCAGTTTATTCTCTAAAGACAATTTGATGCTGCCAGCTGCAGGCGCAGTCCTCATTTCTCTAAGCCATCAGCACTCACCTTGATTCTGACTTGAAGACAGCGTGCCCAGGCCAGCAGTTGCATTTGAGCTCCAGTCCTAAGGCAATGAATGTTTTCCCTTCCCTCTACTTGTCAATCTCCAAGGCCATCCCTACACAGAAATGTCCACATCCTTTCTCCAGAATCCGCCCCTCCCCCCTGCCCAATCCCTGTCCCTGCATTTTCTTCACCCCCTCCAGCTTGAGAGGCATGTAAGTTTAATCTCCACCATTGCCACCACTGGTCTAAATCGCTGTCTTATCCCTGCAATTGTCCTTTCCAGTCTGCTCTCCACATAGTAGTGTCTGCGGGGGAGGAGGGTGGCGCAGTGTGGGTGGCTGTGGTTATGGTCCAGGTGAGAAAGCATCCAAGAAGGGAGCAGTAGGTGGTCCACTGGGGAGAGGAATGGTTAGAAGGTTGTGTGTTGGGCTGTGATGATTAGTATGAGGGAGGGAGCCTTTATGAGGGCACAGAAGCTTGGTTTGGAGCTGTGATCAATACCAAATACGTGGATATTTGAGTTGTAGAAAACCCCTGAGAATGACATGCATGTATGGGCAGGCTGTAGGAGGGAATTTAGTGAATACCAGGGTTGAATGAGAATAACAATTGATAGATGGGCAGAGAAGAAAAAGTCTGCAAAAGAAACGGAAGAAACGTCAGAGAGGGGCTGGTGGGGTTTTGTTGCTCAGAAGACTGAGGGGAGAGGAGCTCTCTGGACACCTGAAGTGAGGATTAAAGATGGCCCAGAGGTGGCCTTCAGGTCAAACAATTTCCCCAAAGTTGTGGGTCCTAGTGAGGGGTGGTGAGGAGAAATGGCAGCTTCCCACAGGTATGACTTTGGACCAAGAGATTTTTTTTTTCCTCCTAATAAGTTACAGGTCTGGGATATAGAGGTGTGAGGCATGGGCTAGTTCTGTATTTGGAAAACAGCTTGTTTTGTGTCCAGCTGTATTTGCAAAGCTGAGGCCAGGTTGGCAGGTGAGGCTTTTGGCTTCCCTGCTTTCTCCCTCACTGTGTCCTAGTGTTTTACTTAACACCTCTGACCTGTACCCCACACCACAGAGGGACAGGCCAGAAGCTCCTTCCTCACCATTACCTGTTGGTGGTGACCAGCTGAGTTTGATTAGAACTACTTACCTTGACTTTCCAGCTCTCGCTGCACGGGCGTAAGTAGGGTGTGGATGACCACGTGGGTACTTGATTAACATGAAGTATTTTTCAAAATCTGCTGTTTATTTACATTTAAGTCAATTACATGCATGTTTTATTTTTTAAACGAGTAATTAGCAAAAAATGCATTAAAACTTTAAAATAGCAATTAAATATACAAAAATATACCTTACAAAAAACTGCGAATGTTTAAAAATATTCTGCTGCAGAATTCTTAGTGTACAAACACGTCTATGAAACCTGAAGCTCAGCATTTCATAAACCTTTTTTTGAGGGAGTTACATCTAGTGAGTGAACCCCAATGGGCTAAACTACAAGACTAAATTATCCTTCATGGCAATGATCTGTTAAAGAGACCCAGAGATGACAGTTATCAGGAACGCTTTATCTTGGAAGACTGGTGTCACCAGGAGGGGCCCCATCTGCCTACCTGGCTCTAGCAGAACCTGGGAGGGAAGGTGTAGACAGGGATGGTGTGCAGCTGGCCCAAAGCACAGGCTTGTACTAGCAGAGGAGTTTCATCAAAATACAGGTAACAAATCATAACAGCTAACGTGAAAGACACACTAACGCAGGGCCAGAGGTTTATCACATGGCAGAAGAGTGGAGGTTCACTTGCAGTTTAATCTCAAGTTTTAAGTCAGGCCTGGGGAAGCTTTGGGTGGCAGCACACCAGGGAGGTGGGTGAAGACAGAGGCAAGGTCCATGGTCCTCCCTGCTACAACTGTCTAGAGGAAGCAGTTTTAATTTTCATCTTATGCAGAGGCAAAAATGAACTTAAAATTATTTTTTAAAGAAATGATTACTGGTGGGGGGGAGATCTGGGAAGCTTTTTCTGGGCAGGGGGTGTTCATAGAATAGGGAGGGAAAGGGAGCCCAGCCCATGTGCCTGAACACCTGATTAATTCCAAGGTGGATCAACTACTTGTTCAGCAACATCTGAGACACCTACCCCCCAACATAGGTGCCTTGGCCTTCAGTTGCTGCTGCTTCTCAAACTGCTGCCTCAAAAACATGGGTGCTCACCTAAGCAAGCAATTAACAGACACCACTGCTGGACTTGGACATCACTTGGAATTGGCTAAGATGGTATGGGGCAGCTTGTTCAGGTGGCTGCAAAGCTGTTGGACCTGGATGAGAGGCCTGTACTGCTGTTGGTCTGCTCTTTTGAGTGTCCTGTCACAGATAAGTACTCTGGAAACTGGCTGTGCTCCCATATTACCTGGACATCTGTGGTAAAGGTCAGGGAGAGATTGCAGTTTATGATTTGTATAGAAAACTAGCATTCCAGTGTGCTGCAATCAGTAATAAAACGCCTTACTCAAAAGGAATGTTATTAACAAAATCACCCCCCACTTCTGGGCTCATCTTTTACAGACATTCTGACTCCTGGTATAGCTCTTCCCACATGAATAGGAATGCTCCTTGAATATACTCTGGTTATCACGTGAAAAAAGAAAAATTATGCACACATACACAGGTGTGTGCATTTGCTTGTATATACATAAATGATCTCTGAAGGACACAAGGAGCAATACTGGATGCTCCAGGGGTGAGAAGCGGATTTGCTGATATCAGGGATTCAAGGAAGACTCATTACGATTTGTGAACCATGTCAAGGGTTGACCTACTCAAACTTAAAAAGGCATATTCAGCAGTAAACAACGTAATTGGGGAACACTGGGCAAAGGCAGATGGAGGTGACGAGGGAAGAACAGGCAGGGGAAGAGGAAGGGCGCCAGCAGACCTGGGACAACAGGATGGTCCCCCTTCCCCACAATGACTTGCAGACCTGTCACCTGCCAGGCTATGGACACAGCTAATCCTTGCAAAAAGCCATTAAAAATACCGTTATTACAATCCCTGGGTGATGGGTAAGGAAATGGGCTGAGAGCTAACTGGTAGAAAGGCACCTGGCTGGTGAGTGACAGATGATTCAAATCACTACTTTTTCTGTCCATTGCTCTGGGGACACCTCTGCATTTCATAATTTCCAGAAAGTCTCTCAGAAAAATAATTACTAGTCATTAGCTGAGCAGAGTGGGATCAGGCCATGGAGATGACAGACTGGAGTGGGGCTGTGCAAAGTGCCTGAGATCATGGCCCCAAGGGGCTTGGCATTGGGGAAATGGCTTTTCATTAGTCAACACTTGTGAAGAACAGGCATCTGGCCACGGTGGGAGGTCCCCTGAATCCCTCAGCCCAGACTTTGCCATGGGCTCCTGGTTTCCATTTGGCCATTTCTGTCTTGTTCTGCTCTGTTCCAGGGACAGGCCTAATCAAATCACACTGTGGCAAAGTAAAATGGCAGAAACTAACCAAGAATCAAGTCAGGCTGGTTTTGTTTCTAAAGCCCACTGAATTCATTTGTGCCCCTGGCAACCATTAGATAATTGAGCCATCAGTGGAAACCAGTTGGGGCTGAGCTCTGTTCCACTAGCCCATGGCACACAAGTAACATCCAGTCTTGGAACTGCTTAAGATGCATTTAGACAAAGTAAAACAATCACCATGTGGCCAAAAAGTTGATGAGATTCCTCACACGTCTACAGATTAACAAAAGGCCACCCACAACTTGATAGATGCAGACAGGGTGGCCTCACTGTGAGGTGTGAGCCTGAGCCAAGGGTATTAAACGATCCTTGACTCCTTAAAAAAAAAAATTCAAGATGGAAATTTAACCTTGTCTGTAACAAAACTTTCGCATCACAATGGAAGTAAGATGTAAATAACCCCCCAGCCATATGCAGTTGTAATAGTGCAGCACAGGTAAGTGCTGGAGGAAGACCCAAATGTGGGTAGCAAATGCATTCAGATTGTGTTGCTAAGAGTTGCAGAACTACTGCCAAGTGACAATGGCCATGCTGCAGTAGGACACTAAGCCAAGAAGTGGAGTATGACTATGAGCAGAACGGGCAATTGGCACTCCAGTGTCCAGCCCCATCTAGTGAGGAGCTGTGTTTTAAAAAGTCCTCCACATTCACAAGTGTTGAGGTCATGTTAGTGGCACCTCACGGGGCAAAATGGTGCCAAATGGAGAGTGCACAGCACACTCAAGCTTTCCTTTAAACTATTTGGCTTTGTGCCTCTGGTCCAGTGCGTACCAACCACATGAGTTTGCTTTTAGCTGTGACACAATGAAATGGATTAATCTGCCTCCCTACAAATACAGGGACTTGGTGAGGCTGTCTCCTTGGTACTGAAACCCGTACAGAAAAAGCTGCACGGAAAGGCTAAAATCCTACAAAAATGGAGTCAAAGCAATTTGCAGTATAGAGCACAAACATTCTTCCTCTGCGGGGAAACATTGCCTTATTCAAACCTCCTAAAGACAAGATGACATTTGTCCCATGGCCATTTCATGGGAAATGGTGGGTGTTGGTCATTAAAGAGGCTAGTCCAGAAGCAAGCCTTCTGACATTGGTCTCTGAAAACATTTCATGTAAACTGGGTGCTTTGCAGCGTTCAACTCTATTGTGCTACAAACGGAGAATGCAGGGACAGAGGATGAAAGTCTGTACATACAGTTCTTTTCATGGATGCCAAACAGACTAAGGCTTTCATATAAAAATATTCCACACTTTCCTTGCCCTGTTTAAGAAGCATTCCAGTTGGCATACCATAGGAATGCCATACAATAGGTCACACATAGGAAACAGCTAATTCTGACCAATTGGGTTTGTAATTTTCCAAACTGGATTCTGCCCAGCACTTTCCTAGGCTAATGGGAATTTTCCTCCTCCTCTAACCCCAGCCACCTGAGCCAAGGGCAGGTTCCCTTGCCCATTTTAAGATGGTAGAGGCTGAATTCCAGAAAAATTTCTGGAGACATGCCATGAACAGAATTGCATACCATGCAGATGGTATTTCTAGTGAGAAACTGCCCCACTCACACCTTGGACAGAGCAGAGGCGAAGCTGTTGACAAGGAGCCCCTCCCTATAAAGGACGGAGGTGGAGAACAGGACTGAGGAAAAGAACTAGAAAGTTCTTAGCTAGTTTACACAATATTCATGAATCCTAACGGACTCTGAGTCATTTCTAGAAAAGTTGGACAGAAAGAGCCAAAGAATAGCATGCATTTCTCTCCTATAAAGACACTTTCAATCGGTTTTCACAAGTCTGAATACTGAGGCACACACCAATGAGTGAACAGCCCTGCAGGAGCTTCCTGATACTATTTACAATTTCAAGTGGATCCCTGCCTAACAAATAACAGAGGGACCTTATTTGGGATGCTTTAAATTGTTAAAACCCAATGACGGGCATTTCCTCTGAAGTAGAAACAAGATAGGGCAAGAGCGGGCAGAAAAAGGGAAGGAAGAAGGGGAGAGGCAAGGTCAGAATTCTATCTCAACAGGGCCAGGAGGACTCGCCATTCTCAGCCGTCCGAGGGGCTCCCAGTAGCTCCTTACCAAGGCAGTGGGCCAAGACCAGCGGCTATGCTGGAGCCATACCTCATATCGGGGGAAGTGGGCAGCACTCCGAGGACCCTGGGTCACACAGGGACAGCATGGGTGCAGAAGCCTGCCCCCTGCTGGGGCTCCTGATGGGCAGTGTGGCCTCACTGATGAGTTGGGGGTGGGAGAGTAAGAGGGAATGGCGGGTTCCAAGATCGCCTTATCAAAGGAACAGAAGGGGAAAAGCCTTGTTGGCACTGCCTCACCAACCAGGCAACTGGTCATGCTTCGGCTGAGGTAACCGCTGGTTTTACTTGGCTCAGGGGCTGCCAGAAAGGTTTGCTGCGGCTAAGGCATGCACAGTCTGCATAGAAGCTCGTCTGTCCACAGGGTGGGGGTTGGTGGCTTTAAAGACCTGCCCTCAGTTCCCTTCTCTAATATTTGTGTTTATCTTCCCTCTTGCTTGAGAAAGAGTCACCTTACATGGAGGTAAGTGTCTGGGAGACAGCATGGAATTGAGTCAGCAAGAGACTCTAAGGAAGTTTCTTGAAACAAACCCACAGGCTCATTCAACTTCTCTTCTCTTGACATGGGGTAGTGTCAGCGTGCTTTGGTTGTCACAAGACCCAGAAGTCTGGGTTCTCAGCTTAGTTGGCCCAAGAGTTCTTCATGAGGCAAAGGAAGTGGCAGCTGGCGCCCCAGGGAGAGCAGCCAACACAGAGAACACTTGTGTTTCTCCTGCCTCAACGCGGACGTGGGATCCCGCAACCGTTTGATCCTTGTGGTGAGCTATACAATGTTCTCTGCCCCAGGCAGGGGCCCCTGTGGGGGGCCACGGTCCTGCTTACTGTGTAACTGGGCCAGCTGCAGCACTGGCATGTTGCATAGTGGACACACTTTCCGAACCTCCAGCCACTTAATAAGGCACCTGCAGGGTGAGACACCACAAGAGGCAAGCCATCAGTCCCGTGCTCATGGTACCCCTGCCCACACATCTTGCATGTTGACACTTCTATGTCCTAGAACGGTCCGGTCCCGCGGAGCCCCACCCTCGGTGGAGAATGCACTTCACCCCCCGGAGGAGCCGGAGCCTCCAGTCTTCTAAAAGGTGATAGTAAGAAGCCAGTCAGCATGCTATACCCTCAGTCCTTCCTCCACGGCTGACAGGTACCACTGAGGGTGGTGGAAGCAGAATAACTTTCTAATAGAAATGCGAAATGCATAAAATACAAGAGAAAGAATATGTCTCCAGGAGGGGTGGAGCCCCACACTGCCATTTACAGTCAGACTTATCTATATTGATTTAAAAGAAGTATCGTTTTGATTAAAATAAATTTTTTAGAGTAGACGCTCTCATTGGAAATTTCCAGTTAATAGCTATTTACAGCCTGGGCTGCTGGGAGGCATGGGCCTGTCTGGCTCTCTGCCAGAGTCCTGCCATGGCGGCCGTGTTCCACATCCCCAATTCCTCCTAATGTCGTGCACACACACCTGCCCCACCCTGCAGGGTGCTTTCTGCATTACAGACCAGTCATGAAGACATCACTTGTTTGACACTGTCCCAAGATCACAGGTAAGTTGGCTGATGTGCCTCAAACTCAGGTCCCCTTAAACAATTCTAAACCAATACTCACTTTCTGTGGAAGGCATGCTTACATGGACAAATCCCCAACTCATCTCGAGGCTTGAAGTCTTCTAGACATACTGCACAGAGCTGAAAGGCAAATTCACAGATTAGGCCAAGAATCTGCTAAGTGCTCTCTTCAGGCCACAAAGGAAGTGCAGGCCCCTGAAGCCCAGCCATCTGAAGGAATCTGCAACGTTCCGCAGTTTAAGTGAAAGGAACAGGCTAGTCTGGGCAAGGTCTTCTGAAGAAGAGTGTCCTGTTCTTCCTATCATGTCTTCAAAGATGGGGGGGCACATGGAAGAAGACAGGAAGGAAGAGGGTGTTGCCTTTTCTTCAGTGCCTCAGAAGAGTTGGACTTCGGTTAGTTCTCACTAGATAGGCCGGATGTGATGTGATGTCACGGGCACAAGGGCTGACTTGCCGCAGGGGGCTCTGCCTGTTCAGCAGCGTAGCCCCTAAAGGACTGCTCACGCCCTGGGGCTCTCCCTTCTCTGCGAACATGCTTTTATAATTCCTGGGTCCCCTCGCTCTGGCACCATTCTGCTGTCAGTGTATGTCTGTGTCATATAAAAAGTTACCCAAGAGTCACCGAATTGAACCTTGAGGGATAGTGCAGATGGGGCCAGCACGGTGCTCTAACCGGTGGCTAGGCCCCACAGCTTGCAAGAATAAGGCCTTCCCTTCCGCACCCCAATGCTGGGTTTCAACCACTACTTCCTGAGCACATATCAGTGCCCAGGGACCCCAACTATCATCACTTTTATCCACCTTACAGATGAGGAAACAGAAGCTCAGAGCGATTAGCACATTTCCTGAGGCCACATGGTGGGCTGCTGCACCGCTTCTGCCTCTGTCCCAAAGCCTGATTTCCTCCCTGCTTGAGTCCCTGTCCGTCTCCAGGGATCCTGCTTCACTCATTTCTATTTCTTGCCTGGATTACTGACATGACCTCCCTGTCACTTGTTTTATAACATATAATGTGAACCAAGCCTTCTTAGGTTATATGATAGGACATACAGCTCTCGGTGCCCCACTGCCAGTGCCATGAATGTTGGTGTTCCAACGCCCTTCCCTCAGGGACTTGTGTATATAACAGAAAGGATCTTCATACCAAGAGGAGAATGGATAACTATCTTATCATACTTGGCATTGCTGCCAAGACAGCAGGAGAGCCGGGAGGAAGGCGGGACAGACCACTGGCCTTGGCTCGGACACCCACTAACTGTACGATCTCCGCCATTCTGATGCCTCTCAAGCTCTGTTCCTTCATCTACCTGTTCCATCTCCCTCACTGGACTGTTGTCAGCTCAGGTCGTCGGGGGCAGAGCTGAGGAGGCAGTAAGGCAGACTACCAGTATCAGCTGTTTATATTCATATTTTAATTTTGCAATGAGAGCACTATTTTAAAGCCCATTTTTGTTTTCTGAAAGACATCTGAGAACAAGTTGCTGGGAAAAATGAGACACTAGAAACACTAGCAGCTCCAGCCTTGGAGTGATCTTTTGGGGCCTCAGCTTCCCACCTGAGTGAACATGCCCTGTGGCCTTAGACACCCAGCTTCCCTCCCAGCACAGCCTTCTCCTGAAACACGGTCAGGAGTGCTGGCTCGCTCTCTGGAGGTTCAGCACTGATCCTACCAAAGGACAAGAAGTTGGAAAAGTCACTCATTTTTATTTGCTTATTTTTCCAGGATCCAAAGTTAGATTTGTAGTCTTTTCAAAATGGAGTTACTATTGGTGGTATAATGGGCTATTATTATTTTCTTCTCAAACAAATTCTAAAACCATAGTCACCTGAAGAAACACCCCACAAGATAAATTCTGGCATGTTAAGCGCTAAAAGTGATCCAAAGCCAAGGACAATCATGAAGAGAAAAGCCTCAGATCTGACTTCTTAGAAGTTCCCAAAGGATCAAATTAATTTTAAAACTTTAAAGATCACATTCTGCAAAAGAGCTTTACTTTTCAGCGTCTCAGCAACACATTGTTTTTCCAGTTGGAGTTCCCATCCCTTTTTATTTTTAAAAAAATGGAGATATAATTCACATATCATAATATAAATCCCCTCCCTTTTAAAAAATATTTTATTATTTTTTAGAGAGAGTAGAAGGGAAGAAAGAGAGGGAGAGAAACATCAATCAGTTGCATCTCACACGCTTCCAGCTGGGGACCTGGCCTGCAACCCAGGCGTGTGTCCTGACTGGGAATCAAACCCATGACCCTCCAGTTTCCAGGCCGGCACTCAATCCACTTAGCCACACCAGTCAGGATGGTATAAATCCCTTTACAGTGTACAGTTCAGCAGTTTTTAGTATAGTCACAGAGTTGTGAAGTGGTAGCTCATTGTGGTTTTCATCTGCTTTTCTTCAATGACTAATGTTGTGCTTATTGGCCATTTGTATATTTTCTGTGGGGAAATGTCTATTCCAATCCTTTGCTCATATTTTAGTTGGGTTATTTTTCTTTTCATTATTGAGTTGTAAGGATTCTTCATATATTCTATATGCAAAGCCCTTATCAGGTAGCCAACTGGTTTTGATAAAGGTCCAAAAGTATTTCAAGGGTGGAAGGATAGCTTTTTCAACAATGGAGTCAGAGCAACTAGACATCCATAACACAAAAGAACCCCTAAAGCACAAGCAACAAAGGAAAAAAAATTGATAAATTGGACTTTGATTAAAAACTTTTGTTTTTCAAAAGACCCTTTTAGGATGAAAAGACCAGGAGTAAATATTTGAAGGTATTTTTATTTTGTTGGATTCTTATTATTGATCTGTAACAGGTCTTTATATATTCTGGATACTAGAGTCTTAGCAGATATAAGATTTGCAAATATTTTTTCCTGTGGGTTATCCTTTTATTTTCTTGATAATGGGCTTAGAAGCACAGAAGTTTTTAATTTTGATGAAGCACAAGTTATTTATTTTTTTCTTTGGTTGCTTGTGGGTTAGGTGTCACATCTAAGAAAACACTGTCTAATCCAAAGCCACATATATTTATATCTACATTTACTTCTACAAGTTTTGTAATTTTAGTTTTTATAGTTAGGTCTTTGATCTATTTTTGTATATGGTGTGAAGCAGGGCTCCAACTTAATTCTTTTGCATGAGATTATCTAGTTATCCCAGCATCCTTTGTTGAATAGATAACTCTTTTCCAGTTGAATTGTTTTGGTATCCTTGTTGAAAATCAATTGACCACAAATATCTGGGTTTATTTCTGAACTCTCAATTCTACTCCATTAATATGCATGTCTATCCATCTGCCAGCCTTTAAAAAAAAGATTTTATTTCTTTATTTTTAGAGAGAGGGGAAGGGAGGGAGAAAGACAGGCAGAGAAACATCGATGTATGAGAGAAACATCAATCTGCTGCCTCTTGCATGCCCCCAGCTGGGCACCTGGCTCACAACCCAGGCTTGTGCCCTGACCAGGAATCGAACTGGCAACCTTTCGATTCACAGCCATTGCTCAATCCATTGAGTCATACCAGCCAGGGCTGACAGTCTTAGTATGTACTGTATTAAGACTGTCTTAAGTATTGTAGCTTTGTGATAAGTTCTGAAATTGGGAGATATCCTCCAACCCTGTTCTTCACTTATTTTCAGTATTATTTTAGGCTGTTATAGGGCCTCTTGCATTTCCATGTGAATTTTCGGACCTGCTTTTCAATTTCTGTAATTTTGACAGATTGTGTTGATGTGTTGATTCTGTAAGTATTTTGGGAAATACTGCCATCTTAATAGTAAGTCTTCCAGACATGGGATGTCTTTCCATTTATTTAGGTCTTCTTTAATATTGTTCAGTGATATTTTATAGTTTTCAGTGTACAAGTCTGAGCTTCCTGTGGAAAGTAGGGCAGAGCAGGCCCATAGTGTGTCTTCCACATGACTCCTCACCCGCTTACCTGCCTGATTTGGGAAAAATGACCTAAATGTGGCTCTTCCTGGTCCTTGTGCAGCTATACCTCAGCTGCTGCTGAGATGCCAAGGGGAGCAGGTTCTCCTTTCCTTTCTACAGTTTCAGGTACTACCACCCTGATGGAAGAAGGGATGGACCCAAACTTGTTAAAATTTAGAAGCTACGTGGATGGCTCTACCACTATACTATAGATGCAGGCTCAGGGTTCTGCATGGCTATGTGTTCTGATTGGCTCATATGGCAACAGCAGGTGAGTGGGGCCTTCTTTGGCACGGTGGCAGGACAGGAAGAGTGCAATGCAGGGAAAAATTTTAAAAAATACTGGCCGAAAACTTCTTAAGCTTGGTGAAAAACAAACCTATATATTTATGAAACTGAATAATCCCCTAACTGGTCCAAAGAAAGCCATGCCCAGACATCATAATTAAATTGCTGAAAACCAAAGCCAGAGAAAAATGACACCTTACTGATAGGGAATTAATCATGCGAATGACTGTGAATTTTTCTTCAGAAAACCAAGACCAGAAAAAAGTGGCAAAAGATTTTTAAAAGGGATGGAAAAAAAAAAGAACTGTCAACTCAGAGTTCTATATCCAACAAAAATAACCTTCAGCAAAGGAGGTAAAAGACATTCTTAGATGAAGGCAAACTAATAGAATTCATAGCCAGCGGATCTGCTCTGAAAGAATTGCTAAAGGAAGGTCATCAGAAGGACTATGACAAAACAACTAAATTTAGAACCCTGGGAATGAAGAGCAACAGAAATGGTAATTATCTGGATAAATATAACTGACTATTCTTCATGTCCTAAATGCTTTACAATATATCTAATGGTTAAAAACAAAAAGAAATAACATTGTCTGATGGGATTTTCAATGTATACAGATGTGATATGACAGCTATTGCATTTAAGGGGGGAAACTTAGAGGGGTCTATATGGGTATAATGTTTCAAAATTCCAACTGAAGTGTGGAAAAATGGATTGTAAGTATTTATTTTGTAATCTCTAAGCAACCACTAAAAAATTATACAAAAGATAAAGTCAAAACCACAACAGATAAGATGGAATACTAAAATGTTGAAATAACCAAAAAGAAGGTAGGAAAAAAGAAATAAAGGAATAAAGAGAGGGAAAAGCAGAAAACAAACAATAAAATGGTAGCTCTAATTCCAAAATATCAATAATTGCATCGAATGTAAACAGTTAAACACACCACTTAAAAGACAGATTGGCAGAGTGGATTAAAAAACATGGCTCAACTATGTGCTGTCTATAAGAAACTTCAGTTCAAATTAGAAGACTTGACATGGTAAAGATGCCAATTTTCTCCCAAATGACCCAAATGATTTATAGATTTAATATAATACTAATCAAAATCCCAACAGGAATTTTTTTTTGGGGGGGGGTAGATACAGGCAAGCTGATGCTAACATTTATACGGAAGAGCAAAGGCCAAGGAACTAGACTAGCTAAAACAGTACTGGAAAAGAATAAAGTTGAAGGAATTACTGCTTGATTTTAAGACTTACTATAAAGCTACAGTAATAGTGTCTAAGGAGATAGGCACATAAATCAATAAAAAAGAATAGAGAATCTGGAAACACATAAAAATATGGCCATTTGATTTCCTGACTAAGGTGCAACAGAAATTTAATGGAGAAAGCAACTATGCGTCATAACCAGAGCTGGGAACACTGCGGTGAACAAATCAAAGAATAAATGCAAATGGCAAGTAGGTCAGAGACTAACGCCGAGACTCTCAGGCTCTGCCTGAGAAAACCCAGGTCTGGCAACAACTGGCCTGTATTCCCCCATGGCAACAATTAGCTTGAACTGAGTCCTAACAACTCCTTTACTTAGGACTGTATGCCCCAGTGTCACAGCTTCCATGGCATCTGCTTCTCTTGACCACAGGATCCGTTAGATGCCATTTATTATCCCACTTCAATGGTTAGAACTAGAAACATGTTTCTTTTGGAAATCTGTTCCTCTACGTCTCTATTAAAAGATGGAGGCGCCCTGGCAGGGCGGCTCAGGTGGTTGGTGTGTCATTCTGTACACCAGGAGGTTGTGGGTTTGATCCCTGGTCAGGACATATACCCAGGGTGCAGTTCTGTCCCCAGTCAGGATGTGTATGAGAGGCAGCCGATCGATGTTTCTCCCCCCCACACCCTGCCTTAATTCTCTCTCTAAAAGCAATAAACATATCCTTGGGTGAGGATTTTAAAAATATTTAGAAAGAATATGGACGAAGAAAAGATAAACAGGGTGACTATGGGTTTTAAGAGAGGATATTTTTCTTTATAGAAGGACAATATATTCTCACGTTTTGAATGGTTAGATCTAATTCTGAAATATCAATAACTGCATTGAATGTAAATATGGTCCAAACACACCAATTAAAAGACAGATTGGACCTATCTTATAATAAGTGTTACAATAAGACTTATTGTAAGGGTTGCTTGACTCCTAGACTGGTAGGAAAAAAAATAAACAAAACAAAAAATAATATAAAAAGTCATAGCTCAAGGGCCATAGGAAGCTGGAGGTGGTGGTGGGGGTGTCTGGGCATCGAGCCTGCACAGCCCCAGGAAGGTACTCTCACGGGAGCAAAAGCCACGAAGAAGCTATGCGGTCCTGCAATACCGGACCTCTCAAGGGCCTCTCAGTGCATACACCAGGTAACAGACTGCTCCTGTCTGCACAGCCTATGACTCGTCTCATTTACAGTCTCCTCTACAAGACTTCTAACTTCTTGAGAGCAGAAATTAGTATTTTATGCTTCTTTGTGTCTCCATGGCTTAGTACAGTGTCTGACATGTTTTATGTAGTCAATAATTTTTAAATTACTTTAAAATTTAATGTTAATTTACTTTCCTTCTTTAATAAACATCATATAAAACAAACATCTGTTTGCATATAAAACACCTGTTTATTGCATATAAAACACCAACTTCCCCTACTCTTTTTCTTCTTTTGTCCTCTGTGTGATCACTACATGTCCTTCTTAAACAGTACAGTGCTTTGCAGTAGGCATGTAAACCCTTGAACGATCTGGTGTTTATTTTACATATGTCATATAAACATTTATATCATTTTGCAACTTGCTTTCATCAAGATCCCATTAGAGCTTTTGCCAGGTTGATTGATATATTTATAGATAGAACTTGTTCCTTCATTTTGCTTGCTCTACAGTACCTCATTGTATGAGTCACTGTATCAGGTTCTTCTTCCTTTCCTCTCCCCCTCTCTTGGTGCGTAATCTGCCAGTATATCATGTTTTATTTATTTGTTACAGTACTGATGAACACTTAGCTTGTCTCTGATTTTTCACTATTACAATTTTTCATTAATAACAGTATCCACATTGAAATTTCATGTGGTTACACAGGACCAAGTTATGTATCACTGTATAATTAGGCCACACACATAACAAAAAATAGTTTTATTACCAAGAAATGCAGCTGGAAAGAACCACATGAATTGTGAAAACTACATCTTGGCCTCTAAACACAAGGTGTAAAGCAAAGTTAGGTTTTCCTTGCTACAGTTTCAAATAACTGGGGGAGGGTGGATCAGCAGCTTGGTCACACTCAGTGAAACTAAAGTTGGTGTGTACAGCTAGATACCAACTCTGATACACAATGCTGCAACACAATGCACTTATTCAGGGTCAAGATTGGAAATTGATGGGTCAAACCAATAAGAAAGACTTCCATTCCTGACAAACTTGGCTATTCAATATTGCAAATGTACGGGTATGTCAGGATTTAATGTTTTCATTTATGGCCATCAAAGACACCCCAAATGAAAAAGGATCACCCTCTATTACTGCATGTTAATTTTGGCCACATGCCAAAGTTAACTTTTGGGAAAATTTAAAAATAAAACAGTAATTGATGCTTGAGTTTAATGCAAGGTTAGGTGTAAAATGCTGTAACCTATTGACTCTGGTTAAAATATATGCAGAAACAGCAAAGGAGCAGTCGATGGCTTCAAAGTGTTCAACAATAATATAAACCATCATCATTATTATTATTCAAATAATTTCACAAACTATCTTTAAAGAGACTGGCAATGTACCTCACCACAGCTAATCTATATAAAACATAGATATCACACGTGCAGCTTTCCAAGTCTTTGCTTTAAACACCAACTCAAAAACTTAAAGAGGAAGAGAAAGGGCCCTAAAATTAAAAATTCTGAACATTTGTAGTTAGAGGCAACACGAGAATTGAAATGAAAAAGAATTCTTACAGCATGTGTGTCTTAAGGTATATCAGGATATACACATGTCTTTGTATTTAAGTTACAAAGCATAAGACTGGAAACACGTATGGACCAGCAACCATGCAACCTCAACACTACATAATCCCAAGGATATATACCTCTCCCTCTATGATCTTCCCTATTCCATTCTTCTGTCTCACCTACCCAAACTCCTACTCCCGAGAAATAATCACTGTCTTTTTTGTGACAATGGTTAAGAAGGGACTACTGGGAACACTTTCAAGAGTGAAATTACTGCAAATTCACCTTGAGTAGAAAAACTAATTGATATCTATCTCCTACGCATATAGTACTGACAGCAGGCAGCATCTCTGCCACTATGCAATCTTACATGGGCACCAACCTCTTAAAAATATGAGTTCTGTTACTCTCTTAAAGTCTTCACACAATTGATTTTTATGTGAGCTCATCCTCAATAATTCTATTAAGCTGATCAAAATCTAACTTTTTCAGCTTCTGGAAATAAAGATGTGTAAGCATACCACAGCATACCACTCTGTTAGAAAACAGCTAAAATACTTACAAGGCAACTTACCTCATGTAAATTCAGTTCTTTTACTTTTTCTTTTAATATAACCTGTAAGGCAAAAAGTGTGTTCTTATATCCATTTAAATATGTAATTAAAAAAATTTCACATTATATTTATAAATACTTCTATTTTTGCATATAGCTCATTTCCCCTCGTATTCAATATTGGAGAGACTCTCTTTTACAGTTTGAGATAGAACATTTTACCAACATTTTTTGAACTTGAGCAATGACGCAAAATTCTTCTGGAAAGCAATTTAAAAATCTCTTTGACAACAGATGAAATTTTGGGAAAAGACATTAACACATGCCCATCTGGACTAAGTGCTAACATGGGGGGAAATAAATAAGGCTAACTGCCTCATGGTTCAGTAAAACACAGCATTGGCTGATGGGACTGACTAGCAATTTATCATTAAAAAAAAAAAAAATCCTCATTCGAGGATGTGTTTATTGATTTTAGACAGAGAGGAAGAGAGAAAAACATCGATGTGAGAGAAACACTGATTGGTTGCTTCCCTTACACTCCCTGACCAGGACCAAAACAACCTAGGTATGTGCCCTGATGGGGATCTAACCTGCAAACTTTTTTTTTTTTTTTTTTTTTTGTGGTGTACAGGACGATGCTCCAACCGAGACACCCAGCCAGGATTAATAATTTATAAAAGATTAAAAAGTAAGATCAATCTTAAATTTAAAAGTTTTGCTCATTATTATACATTACTATCCTCAGAAAACTTCAGTCTTATCTGGAGTTATGTAGCTAGACTTAAAATTCACCCAGGTGCTGTCCCTAACTTGATTTTGTAGTGACCATCACTTAAGAAGAATACCAAGTGATAAGAGGGCAAATTACTATTTAAATAGAAAATTTTTGAGAATGAATTTAGCTTATATATATCATTTTCAAGTGAAAAAACAGGGAAGTAAAATTTGGAGAAAATCTCTACTTTGAGTATCTTATATTCCTAAACCAAAAATAATTTTAAGGGTAAATCATATTTTCAAAAATCACAACCAAAAGCTACTATCTAGCTATGCAGGGATGTATTGCATTGCAAATTCAATATTTTTTAAAGACAATTTTTTTTATCATGTCTTGTAACTTTATTAGTTTTATCAATTTCACCTTTTTAATGACCACCAAGACCAATTTCACTTACTAGTTATTTATTTATTTTTTACATACAAGTATCTTGTAGGTTGTCAAGATCATGACAGAACTGAGACAAAAGGTTTCATTCATTTAGAAAACTAAAACATTCCACTCTGTGTATGAATCTCACGTGAAGCCTATGATATCAGTGCAGACACCTAAGGAACTGGCCAAGAGCTCAGATTTCAAAGAGACATGGACAAAAAAGGTATGTTATCCTAACATGGGGAGATGGTTCTGTACCATCAATCAGAGAAGTTAAAGTCTCTCTGTGTCTTGCTAAAGAAACTCTTAGAGAAAAAAAAATTATATTACTCTATCATCTGAACTTTTTATAACTTTAAATAAAAAAGAAAAGAAGAGTACTTAAAGTTGTTCTCTTTTGTACTGCAAACTGGCAATGAAATGTCAAAATGAACACAAATCCTAGTTTAAAATGAGAGGAAATATAAGTTCTCATTTTTTGGGGGTAAAAAACACGATCAAAGCCAATCTGAAATAAATTTCTTACCTGTTTGTAGGCATAAAATTCTTTGTGTGCTTGATGTCTTAGCCTAAAAGACAAATTAACAATGCGATATTACGATTACCAATATAACAATTTTTATATTGATGACAGTCCACTTGTTTCAATATTTAATATATCTAATTTTTCTTACTTTAAAAATAAGTATAATATATACCTAATAATGTACACGAATCTTAAGAAATATTAAAAATATATATACATACATATACATACACACACCAGTGTAACTATCACTAAGATCAAGAAATATCTTTCCAGTACCCCTTAAATGACTCCTCCCAATCAATATCCACCCCTAAGAGGAACCCACTCTCCTGATTTTCTGTCGCTGTAGATTAATGAGGCTTATTTTTGAGCTTCGCATAAATGGATCATTTGGTATATATACCCTTTTGTGTTGGCTTTTTTCAGTCAGCATGCTTACTTCAGTCTTTTCCTTGCTTACTGGCACTGAAAGATGTTCCAGGCTCATCTTGCATTTTCCATGCCCTAGTTGTGGAATTAACCACTTTTTACAAAGAACCTTGGTTTATTTCATAAGAGAATAGTTATTTAGAAAGAAAGATCTGGGTGCTATGTGACTAGCACTCTGTTCTACGTACTGGAGCTCTGTAACAAGTCTTGGGGTCTGGTAGTATAAGTACTCAAGCTTTGTTCTTAACTATGTAAATTGCATGAGCTTGTCAATTTCAATAAAAAAATCAGTTGAGATTTTGGCTGAGATTGTGTGGAATTTATAGATAAATTGGGGTAGAACTGACATCTTTGCAAGATTGAGTTTCCAACCTATGGACATAGTACATTCCTCTATTTATTAGGTTTTAATTTCTGTCCATACATCTCTAGGTGGAACACTTTACACATCTTTCATTAGATTTATTCCTAGGTATTTGGTAATTTTTGATCTAGTATAAATGATAATTTTTTTCATTTTCTAATTCTTGTTACTATACTAAAAAGGTTGTTGTGCATTGATCTTATATCAAGTAACTGGTTAAATTCACTTATTAATTTTAAATAGTTTACCTGTAGAATCTTTTGGATTTTTTAATATATACAATCATTCTGTCTACAAATATGTGACAGCTTAAATCTACCTTTACAATCTTTATATATTTTACTTCTTTACACTTTATTTAATTTCTTTTATTCTACTTTTTGCTTTGCATTGGCTAAGACCTCTAATACAATGTTAAATAAAAGTGATAGTCAATGTCTCTATCAATATGTCACTATCAGGTATGATGTTTTCTCTAGATTTTTTGTGGATAATCTTGATTCACATACATAAAATTCCCTTTTATTCTAGTTTATGATTTTAAAAAATCATGAATAGGTATTAGTTTTTACCAGATTGCTTTAAAAAAAGATTTTATTTATTTAGAGAGAGGGGAAGGAAGGAGGAAGAGAGAGGAACATCAATGTGTGGTTGCTTCTCACATGCCCCCCACTGGGGACCTGGCCCGAAACCCAGGCATGTGCCCTGACTGGGAATCAAACTGGTGACCCTTTGCTTTGCAGTCCAGGGCTCGATCTGCTGAGCCATATCAGCCAAGGCTACCAGATACTTTTTAAAAAAAATATATTTTATTGACTATGCTATTACAGTTGCGCCAATTTCCTCCCTTTGCCCCCATCCACCCTGAACCCCTCTTCCCTCCAACAATTCTCCTCCTACCCCTTAGTTCATGTTCATGGGTTGTGCACAGAAGTTCTTTGGCTTCTCCATTTCCTACATGATTCTTAAAATCCCCATCTATTTTGTACTTACCAATTATGCTTTTTAAACCCTGCACTTTTTTCTCCTATTCTCCCCCTCCCAGCTGACAACCTTCCAAATGATCTCCATATCTATCATTCTGTTTACTGTTCTGGTTGTTTGCTTAGTTTGATTTTTTTAGATTCAGCTGTTGATAGTTGTGAATTTGTTGCCATTTTATTGTTCATAGTTTTGATCTTTTTCTTAAATAAGTCTCTTTAACATTTCATGTAATAATGGTTTTGTGATGATGAACTCTTTTAGCTTTACCTTGTCTGGGAAGCATTGTATCTGCCCTTCCATTCTAAATGATAGCTTTGCTGGATAGAGTAATCTTGGTTGTAGGTCCTTGCTTTTAAACATTTTGATACTTGCCAGTCCCTTCCTGACTGCAAAGTTTCTTTTGAGAAATCAGATGACAGTCCTATGGGAATTCCTTTGTAGAAAACTCTCCTTTTCCCTTGCTGCTTTTAAGATTCTTTCCTTATCTTTAATCTTAGGTAATTTTATTGTGATGTGGCTTGGGGTGGTCCTCTTTGGGTCCTACTTGGTCAGCACTCTGCGCTTCTTGGACTTGTAAGTCTATTTTCTTCACCAAATTAGGGGAGTTTTCTTTCATTATTTTTTCAAATAAGTTTTCAATTTCTTGCTCTTCCTCTTCTCCATCTGGCATTCTTATGATTCGGATGTTGGTAGGTTTGGAGATGTCCCAGAGGATCCTCATACTCATTTCTCAATTATTTTTTTCTTGCTGTTCTCGTTGAATGCTTATTTCTTCCTCATGTTTCAAATAAATCATTGATTTGAATCCCAGCTTCTCCCCTTCCACCGATGGTTCCCTGTAGATTTTTATTTCACTTAGTGTAACCTTCACTTCTTCCTTTGTGTTGTTGCCATACTTAGCAAGTTCTTTGAGCATCCTGATAGTGTTTTGAACTCTGATTCTGATTGGTTGGTCATCTCTGTTTCGTTTAGTTTTTGTTCTTTTTTCATTTGGGCCTTATTTCTTTGTCTCCTCCATATGGCAGCCTCCTTGTGTTTGTTTCTGTGTATTAGGTAGAGCTACTTTAACTCCGTCTTAGTAGTGTAGCCTATTGTAGAAGAGGCACCTAAAAATCGTGTGGGGTGGAGCCTTAGATAATTGCCAGGGTGGGGCAACCCACTTCACCACTTTGTGGCTCTGTGTGGGTGGAGGGCTCGGAGAGGTGACAATGCGGTTCCCTGGCTTCTGGAGGTTTTCCTGGCATTTGTCCTGTTTCCAGTCATTTCACCCACTTCCCCTATGTTCCTGGCACCTTTAAGCTGTTGTCCTGGTGGTGAATCCCAAGGTGGGTGGGTTTGCGTATGTTCTAAGTCCGCACAGGGCCTTTAAACCGAGTCTTCCGAAAATTTGGCAGTTTCTTCTGCCTCCCCAACCCCCACTAGTTTTTACAGCCAGAAGTAATGGGGATTTATCTTCCGGATGCTGAAACCCTGGGCTGTGTGGTCTGGCCTGGGGCTGGGATCACTTGCTGCCAAGGTATGCCTCCCAATTTTCATCCACCAAACATGCATGTGGGATTGTCTGTTCTGCCACTCTGTGCCACACTGCGTCTTTGCACCTGTCTGTGACCCTGTCTCTCCTACTCATCTAACTAAATCTGGCTTTTTTAAATCCTTGATTGTCGGACTTCCATACAGCTCAGTTTTCTGACGGTTCTGGGCATTGTTTTGAGATCTAGTTGTAATTCTTTCTATGGTTGCACGAGGAGATGATGCATCTCTACCTACCACTCCATCTTGACCAGAAGTCCCACATGCTTTTTACCCCCATCACTTTCCCCTCTTTTTACTGTGTGGTATATTGCATTGATATGTTCATCCCTGGAATAAAGTCCACTTGGTTTTAATGTACTACCTTTTTGCACATTCCTGAACTTGACTAATATTTTGTTCATGAGAGAACCAAGTCTATAATTTCCTTTCTTGTAATGTCCTTGTGAGGCTTTGCATTATTTTAATAAAAATTATGCTGGCCTCATTATATAATGAGTTGAGAAGTATTCTATTCTCTGCAAGAGTCATTTAAGAATGGTCATTTTTCTTAAATGTTTGAAGGAATTCACTGGTAAAGTTACCTGGCTTACAGTCTCTTTGTGGGAATGCTTTAATAATACATTCAATTTCTTACTATGTATTTAATTGTTAATAGTTTCTATTTTATTTTGAGGTTTTTAATCCTTTAGTAAAAATTTTAATATTCCTTTATTTCCATTCACATAACTTACAATTAAGCATTTTAAATTGTATAATTCAGTGGTGTTTAGTGTGGTCACAATGTTGTGCAAATACCAGCTCTCTTCGTTTCAAAACATTTTCATCACCCTCCAAAGAATATGTGGTCTCACTGAGCAGTCACTCCCCAGTCCCCTCTTCTCCACCTCCTGGTAACCTATAATCTGCTTTCTGTCTCTATAGATTTGCCTATTATGGATAATATATAAAATACACATATAAAAGAAATAATAATATGTGACCTTTTCTCTCTGGCTTTTCATTTAAAATAATGTTTTTGAGGCTCATCCTAACTGTAGCAGGTATCAGTTTTTCACTCCTTTTAAGGCTGAATATATGCCACAGTTTGTTTATCCATTCATTTGCTGATGGACATATGGGTTGCATACATCTTTGGGCTATAATGAATGTTGCTGCTATAAGCATTACTCTGTAAGCTTCTGTGTAGACATGTCTTTTCATTTGTTTTGGGTCTTCATCTAGAAGTGAAATTTCTGGGTCATGCTGTAATTCTATGTTTAACTTTTTGAGGATCTGCTGAAATCTTTTCCACCGTGATTGCGCCATTTTACACTCCCACCAGCAACATATGTGGGTTTTTACTTCCCCATATCCTTGCCAACACTTCTAATTTTCCATATATGTGTATTTTTTTAGTCCTCACCCGAGGAAATTTTTTTCATTGCTTTTAGACAGAGAGGAAGGGGGAAAGAGGGAGAGAGAGAAAGAGACATTGATGTGAGAGAGAAACATCGATTGTTGCCTTCTCATGTATGCACCCTACCTGGGGATTGAACCCACACCCTGGGTATGTACCTTGACATGACCTGAACGTGTGCTTTTCAGTCTACAAGATGATGCTCCAACCAAGCCACACTGGCCAGGGGCCAAAAAGTCCATTTAGTTTTTTCCATAAAATGAAAGACACAATTTTAAATCTTCACTAATAACTTTATTGATTTGGATATTTTGAGCATGTCAGCTATCTCCTG